GGTGCGGGGAGCAGAGACCTGCCCCCCGCAGTCCGGGGGTCGCGGCGGGAGGAAGGGGTGCTGGGCGGGGACTGTCGCCACAGGCTCTGGCCATTTCAAACGCTGGGCGAAAAGAAAACGTGCGCAAAGCTTTGTTGTTTTTAAGTACGGTTTTTGCGAAAACAGGGCTCGAGCAGGAAGGTGATGGCAGGCACGTCCTGCCTTTTCTCGCTAGCACCTGCTTTTTCCTTGTGCTTCGGGTCCTGCGTGCAGCTAGGGCCTGGGAGGGCGCGGGGCAAGTCTCCCGGCTACCGTTTGCACGTTAATTCACTCTGCCTTTTGGGGGTTGCATTTGAGTTCTCTTTCCCTATCAGCTAGGCGGTTACCAAGACGTTGTTGTGTATCCCTGGCAGCAGAGAAGCATGCAAACGTTTTGATCTTGTGGTTTCCGATACCTCGGGCTAGAGAATCTTGAAAATGTAGTGAACCGATGTATATCTGCCATCCATTAAAGCAAACTTCATTCTTCTCCTTTGTTTCTGAACCTAGAAACAGGAAAATGCTACTGTTGGAGGGTTTCACGTAAACCGTCATACCTTATTGGCATAAAGGAAAATAGCATATTTTTCAAGAGTGCAGTCATTGTTTTGTGTCTGCAGTGTCGATATTAAGAAGCAATTTTTGAGATCTGACCATACTTATCAGCTCATTTGTTTTTTTTAATAATCAGTGTTTCGTTGTTTTTTTGTTTATTTTGTTTTGGTAACACACTTCCCTACTCTTATTTTCTACCTGGCCTACAAAAAATCCTAAAGGAAGAAGGGAATGAAAATATAAAAGAACCGAGTTACCACAGTAGTGGATTTGAAGTCAGTGAAGCAGCCATTCCTTGCTGCAGATATATGTGCTTACTTTATCCTCTCTAATTGGCTTCGCTTAAGACAGTCACCCTGAGTTTAGTTTACTTAGCCTGTGTAGACACAGTGACACTCACTGAATAAAGTTGAAGTTTCCTTGCCACCGTCTCGTTCCAAGCCGTTTCCATTCCAATATTGCATATTTCCTGGAACTTCCTTTTCTACCTCAGTTTTCTTTCTCTCTCAGCCCACTGTGATTCAGATACCTTTTCCTGTCCACTGAAATTGTTCAAGCACATTTCCTGATTGCCAAATTCAGGGAATTCTATCTGATCTTTATTTTTCTTTGGCATCTTCTCAAAGTTTTTGTGATGCTGCTCCCATATTCTGTTGTTCCGACTTCCTTTCCAGTATTCTTGCTGACTCGTCTTCTTTTCTTCCCCTTTAAATGCTAGTGGTTCTGGCTTTGTCCCTCTTCTCATTCACAGTAGTAGTCCTTAACTTTTCTAGGGTTACGGTCCCCTCTGAGGATCTTTATGGAAGCTAAAGATCCTCTTTCTAGAAAAATACACATAAGCACTGATGATTAAAATAATTGCCTACCTTTGGATGTACAGACCACAGGATAAGAACTCTTTCCCATACTCTGTTTTGTCAGTGATTTCATCCATTCCTTTTTTCAGCAGTTCCCATGATACTAGTGATTCCTCAGACTGGATCTCCAGCGTATACCCCCAGTGCAGGGCTCCCATGTGGGAACCATTGTGAATGGCAGTCCTTAGTTGCACTCTGCATAGCTAGTGTGGCCGTAGACTACCTGCTTGCAGCTTTAACCTCAGTGCCTCAGCAGCAACCTCACACCCAACACGTCTGAGGAACTCCTTGTCCTTTCTCCCAACCTGCTCACCTTCCTGCCTTCCTTACCTTGGTGAGTGGTACTATCCATCTAGTTACCCAAACCAGAAGTCTGGAAGCCATCAACAGTTTCTCCTTTTAACACCTTGACCAATTACCGATCGTGATCTCGCATTTCCGTCGCCATACAAAACTGTCTCAGCCATGACCTGCATCCCCTTCCTGTTGCTGCCTCCTAGATTCGGGTCCTCATTTATCTCCTTGGTTACTGTTGGAAGGAACATTTATCTGTTGGACCACTGCAGTCAGCTCTCTGTGTTGATCTTTGCTTCTTCAGTATTCCAATCCTGCCACTATCTCAAAACTGCCACAGTGATTTTTCCGATCATGTAACTTTAAAAAGCATTTTAATAACTTCTCTAGAATAAAGACCCGGCTTTTTAATATGACAAATCATGGTCGCCCATGACCTGACTGCTCCTTACTTTTTGTTTTATCATAGCCAAGCCTTGTTTTGCTCCCTTTGCTTCAGCCTTATCAAACCCCTTGCTGTTCCTGGCATAAGTGAATTCCCAGATCCCTCTTTCCCTATCAGCCAGGCGATTGCCAAGACTTTATTGTGTATCCCTGGCAACAGAGAACCACACAAACGTTTTGATCTTGTGGTTTCTGATACCTCGGGCTAGAGAATCTTGAAAATGTAGTGAACTGATACATATCTGCCATCCATTAAAACAAACTTTATTCTTCTCCTTTGTTTCTGAACCTAGAAACAGGAAAATGCTACTGTTGTAGGGTTTCAAGCAAACTGTCATATCTTGTTGGCATAATGGAAAATAGCATATTTTTCAAAAGTGTGTGCATAAATGTATGCCAGGAACAGCAAGTGGTTTGATAAGGCTGAAGCAAAGTTTTGATACAGTCCATGCCTCTGTATCTTTGCTGATGATGCTCTACTGCCGAGAATATCCTCATACCTTTTATTCATCTTTCAGGATGGGCCTGCCCAAGTCCCAACACTGGATCATCCTCTCACTAAAATCTTTCTCTGCCTCCTTTCCCACGAATCTGTGCTATCCTACCCCATGAAAAATAGCTAATCCTACCTCTCTACTTTGTACCTGTACCAGTTTAGGCATCAGTTGTTCATACACACACACACACACACACACACGCGCGCGCGCGCGCGCGTGCGCACATGTGCGCGCACAAGTGTTTATGTATGTCTGGTTCTCTGCAGATTGCAGAGACCTTGAGAACAAGGACGTTTTCATTTTAACATTCCTCGCCAATGTCTTACACTTAACTGGTGTTCAGATAGTTTGAATAGTCACTATTTGATTTTTGAATTAGTTGGTTACTTGTTACTTAAAGAGGCTTATTATTTTTTTGGTTAGGACTTTGAATTTGTTGTTCTGTGTAAGCTTGCTTTTCTTAAAACAGTATTCCCCAAAGGTAAGTTTCTCCAGAAGTAAATTTACTCAGATTGTTTGTTCTCTGTTGGTTCCCTAACTTACAGGAAAGTGCACAGCACCAGGTTGTCATATGTTGCTCAAGAACAGTGAACACAATCTGTTTTCCTCAACAGGGCCCCACTGGGGATTTTCCTGAATAGCATCCATTTTTCTTTAATCTTCACGTATGTCTTATCTCCTTGACTACATTTAAAAACTCAGAAACATTAGGATTGGATCTTTAACTGTTTGTTCTTGCCCAGTGATTTTTTTCGTCTAGGTACTTGATATGTTGAATAAATTATTTTAGCATATCACATAAGCATTGTTTGCAGGTTAGGATACTGTTGCACTTTATATATCTAGAAAGCATTTTATCTTAGCTTAAATATCGGTGAGAAAACTAAAGTTAGCCTCTACTGTTTTACAGTATTTGTGCAGAATGTCATCAGATGAGAAATATTCAGGTCCAGTGGTGCAAAATGAATCCAATCAAGGCAGTTCTGTCTCTTCAGATCTTCAGGTAGGAAGAAATGTCTAAATTTGTGATGACTTTTTAATTGTAAGCACGTGATAAAATAAGGGAAAAGTAGAAATATGTTTTTCATTTATTCCATTTACAAGGGAGTTTTTCAACTTACAATAACGTCCAACTTTGGGAATTATTTTACAGATTTTGGGAGGTACTTTACTTTGTTTTAACCTTTCAAAAATAGTCATGAGTTCTTCAAGTACTCTTTATACAAAGGTTTCAAACAACAGTGAGAGGCAAAGCTACCTCTCATGAATGCTACTTTCACTTTTAAAGCAAATTATAATAGTAAACCATTCAGAGTTCTAGAGCTCAACATTCCCTTGCATTCTGCTTGTGAGGTTTGGTCTCTGTTGCTACAACATTCAGAAAAATCTGGTGTCCAGGACCTGATACTAACAGATAAAATGGATCAGTGGTATGATGTTCACATGAAATGTTTTAAATTTCTCTTTTTTCTAAATATTTTTTCTGAAATATAAAATCAGATTTTAAGTGAGAGAATAATGGCATGGTTTATCTTAAGTTTTATAGTTATGTCACTTAAGAGGGCAAAGCTGGACATTCCATTTATGTCTAAGTAAATTATTGACACTGTGTAATATGAGAAAAACTTTAAGAAAATAGTTTACGAAACAAATGTGTTCCTTTAATTGAAATTATGAATTTTGAAATTGTAAAGTTATTGGAAAAATATCTGAATACTTACTAGGATAAAAGTAAGTATTGTGACATAGAAGTTTCACCCTAGTCTTCCCTGTTGATGGCACCTTTTCCACATAGTGCTGTCTTTTTGGTGATAGTACTTTTCTGCACCCTTCTTCTCTGCCTTATCCAAATTTTAAGAAAGAATTGGTTAACTCATTTATACTAAAACGTAAATATCTTGTCAGTCTTAAGTTGGCATTTTGTCCAGAGACAAAACTTCAAATCAAAAGAGTAAAACTCTAGAGTGTGATTTAAAGAAAGATGGGGGGGACACCTCCTAGACCTACCAGAAGTTATTTTCCTGCTTGTCATGTCAGCCTAACTGAGAGTTGATTTGTAAGCCTCAACTTAGGACCCTGCTGGCTCTTGGACTACGGTCAAAGCCCACCCATATTCCCTACGGATACAGTGTTATTATTTTTGTGTTGCACTACTGGAAACATTTCAGAATACAAAGACAATCCTAAAATAACAAAATAGACATACACTTTTACATGTGTGGTAAATGGGTAAATCCAAACATTTACTACAAAAGCCCCTCAAAATTCAATATTCCTCTTAAGGGATTTTTGTTACTCTCTCAGTTATGCAAATGCACCAGGAGATGGTAAATACTGAGGGATGGACAGCATCCGTGGTGCTTCCATACTGATAACCTCTTCTAATGCAACTCTAAACTCTACCAAGTTGCCCTAACTCTAAATAATGGTCGAGGGATAGGTGGAGCTATATCTTAGTGTCATATCAATCCACCTATTGGAGGGGAGAGGGGACAAAATTACAAGTTTTAGTTGTTACACTAGGATTCTCAGGTATCTTAAGACAGGTTATCTCTGACAGCTAAGAAAGGCAAAATTATTTATTTTGATTCTTAATTTTAGAATAACTTATTTGGTCTGTATCTACACATATGAAACTATAAAACAGTCATTTAAATAACTTATTTGTAGGCCGGGCTCAGTGGCTCAGCCTGTAATCCCAGCACTTTGGGAGGCTGAGGTGAGTGGATTACCTGAGCCCGGGAGTTCGAGACTGACCTGGGCAACTTGGCAAGAACTCGTCTCTACAATAACTAGAAAATTAGCTGGGCGTGGTAGCGTGCTCCCGTAGTTCTGGCTACTTCGAAGGCTGAGGCAGAAGGATCGCTGGAACCCAGCAGGTCAATGCTGGGGTGGCTGTGAGTGTGCCACTGCACTCCAGCCTGGGCAACAGAGTGAGACTCCAACTAAAAATAAATAAATAAATAACTGATTTAAAAATCTGTTTTTAAAATAAGTTAGAATATATGATCACTGAATACTATTGATATATATCTATTTATCTCCCCTTTAAATATGTTTGGATCCTTTTTTTTTTGCCCTCTTTTTTCTGATCCATAACAGAAGTCAGACTAGGGAAGCCACAAGTTAAAGCCACTGACTTCCATGTCCCCCTCTTTTCCTACAGGCTGCAGGTGGTAATAGGCTAACTGAATAAGCTGAGCTACTTTGGCTAAATCTAGTTGTAATTGCCACTGGAGGGAGGAAACTCCAAAACATTTATGGACCTTAGTATAAGATAGGTATCGTGTTAGTCTGCTAGCAGTGCCATAACAAAATACTGTAGATTTGAGAGCTTAAACAGTAGATATTTGCTTTTCTCACACTTCTGAAGTCCCAGATCAAGGTCTGTATTCCCCCATGGATACAGTGTTATTATTTTGTGTTGCACTACTGGAAACATTTCAGAATACATAGACAATCCTAAAATAACAAAATAGACATACACTTTTACATGTGTGGTAAATGTGTAAATCCAAACATTTACTACAAAAGACCCTCATAATTCAATATTCCTCTTAAGGGATTTTTGTTACTCTCTCAGTTACAATAGTTTCTGGTGAGGGTTCTTTTCCTGCCTCGGGAACAGCTGCCTTCTTGCTGGTCCTCACATGGCCTTTCCTCAGTGCAGTGTGTGTGTATGGGAGGAGAGAGGGTGCCAGCTCTCTGATGTCTCTTCTTATGAGGGCATGAATCCTGTTGGGTCAAGGCCCCAGCTGATGACCTTATTTAACCTTCATTACTTCCTTAGAGGCCCAATCTCCAAATTCAACCATACTGGCTGGTAGGGTTTCAACATATGAATTTTGAGGAGACACAAATATTCAGTCCACAACAGCCATGGTTTTATATATTCTTAGTCAAAATCAAAAGTTTACTTTGGCTCTTTGGAAAGTACAATAGTCAGAGTGTTATTTTGGCTACTTCAACAGAAACCCAATAAGAGTGGCTTAAGCAAGTGCCTTAAAGTTTGATTCTCTCTCTAGTCTTGAGGTCTTCAGAGGACTTTGTCCCTTCTCCGTTGCTCTGCCGTAGGTTGAGGTATTGACCATGTTTGCATTGTCATGTGCTGGTGCACTACCACCGCTAGCCCTACACAGTAAGAGGGGTGTAGAAGGCAAGCAGCTTTCTCCTTAAGGACTTCAGTTGAAGTTGGGCTCATCATTTCTATTCATATTTCATAGACCAGGGCTCTTGGCCATGCCTAGCTGCAAAGGAGACTGGGAAATGTAGCTGGATGGACATTTACCCAGGTCAAACCCCAGGGTTTTATTTATTAACTTCAGAAATAAAAAGAAAATGGATTCTGCAGGACCATTTGCAGTCTCCATGCACTTGACATTTTATATAGTTATTAGTTTATTAATCAACTAATAAGGTATATAGGAACCAGTTATCAAACTTTTGAGAATTTCCTCTTATTTTAATAACTGGAAAACTGATATGGTTCAGGAAGCGTATTTTTAAAATTTAAGAGATTTTAAATCTATTTAAATAATTATAGTTAATTGTGTCATACAAAAATTAAAAGTTGTATTATGATATATGATAGTCAAAATGATTTTTTTCTAATAAGAGCTTTCTGCCTCAGTAATAACCATCACGTGAAATAATGACTTTTATTTGCTATCAGGAGGAAATGTAAGTTTAAAATTCAGACATTTATTCTCATGAGAGGACATCATTAATAAAAACAGCTGATTATAGCAAAATGAAGGGGATTCTGGTGATTGAATGTTCTAAAGTGTCTCTCTTTGGTATATCTATTTGTGTTTCACTTCTGTCATTAGCCTCAAAATATATAAAAATCAACATTTGCTATGCCTAATATTACTGCATATAAGAGTTTGCGTTAAATATATAAATCAAGGTTGAAATGCAAGCCAGGTCACTCTTGTACGTTTAATTGTCCTAAAGATTAGTAGTTTTCAGACATAATGACAGGAAAATCCCTTTCTGCAAACAATTTAATTTAACATTTTAATATAAAAATCAGATTAAAACAGAACTGTAGTTGTATAGCTTTTTTGTGTAATATCAAATATGTGACATTTACTTCTCAATAAGTTAGTTAACATAAACAGTGTAGCTACCTTGAAAACTGTTGTTTGAAATTGGGGATAATGGAAGGCCAGTGCAATTTTATAAGCCAAGTATCTAATTGGCTTCTGTGTTTTGTTGAGTTTACATAATATCAAGAACATTCTGAAAATGGTAGCTTTTTAATAGAGTGTCTCATCTTCAGTTAAACTGATCTGAAGCGTAAAAGAATAAGTGATAAAAAATTTTTGATTCACTGTTGAGTCACCATGGAATCTATCACCTCTTCACTTTTAATCAGAAATGTCAAAATCACACAAGAAGCACTCAGAAGACTCAAGATTGGAATAAGTGCTAAGACTTTTTGTACTGTGAGAAGCATGTGGCTTTGTTATGGTAATTGAATGTATTAAAAACAGAAGAATTGTATCTGTTACAGTGCCAATTACTGGTTTCTCATAGGTGGAGTGCGAAGAACTACCTCGCTGTGCGATAGTGACTGACCCCGGTGCTTCCCTGTCGTCTCATCCCAAGGGAGAAGTGGGGCCAGAGGCTAGAGGTCCTGCTGCAGGCGATGCTGTTCTTCAGAATCCAGGTCATACATGTTTTTCAAGATATCTCTTAATTTAAGATATCATTGAGTTTATTAATGATACTGACTTATGATAGTGAAAATGGCTCTCTGGATCAATGATTCTTCTCACGCATAGGTGTATGTCAGTACCATCTGGGATAATTTTGTGCACTTTAATGAGTTATTCTTGGCTCTTATCTGATAGCTGGATTTTTCTTTGATTGTCATTTGACTCTTACTTTTATAGTTAATAAAATTAAAGCAATCCCATAGCAATTGCATATATATATAATTTTTTTTTTTTTAGTTTAGAGTCTCACTCTGTTGCCTAAGTTGGAGTGCAGTGGTACAATCACAGCTCACCATAGCCTCGAATTCCTGGGCTCAGACAATGTTCTCTCCTCAGCCTCTCAAGTAGCCAAGACTACAGGTACATGCCACCATACTCGGCTAATTATTTGATTTTTTGTAGAGGTAAGGCCTCACTATGTTGCCCAGGCTGGTCTTGAACTCCTGGACTCAAACAGTCCTCCTGCCTCATTCTTAAGTCCTGGGATTACAGGCGTGAGCCACCACACCTGGCCACAATCTCATTTTTTTTAGTGGAGTATGTTGCATCTCAGTACTTGTTCCAGTGATTTTATGCCAGGATTATCTTGAAAACTAATGTCCAAGCCCAAAATGACAGATGGTCCATAGGTAGCCCTCAAAGTCCGTTCACTTAGTTTTTGAACTACATGCTGGTACTTTGTCACATTGTTACATATGGGCATGGAGGACTGTTGGATTATCATCACAAGGGAGAACCATTTGTGGACCACGCTAGCAACAGAACTGAGAGCTAGTAGAAAACAGAGTGTGTTTTAATAAATGAGTGGAAGATGGAAAAAGAAAGATAAAGCACCTTTTACCACCTTCCTTACTCAGTAATGTACCACATCCCAAACAGCTCACTCTAAATAAGTGCTCTTTCAAAAGGCATGGAAAGCCTTCCTAAATCAACCCTGATCATGAACATTCAGTACAGAATAGGCATATCACCCAGGATTCTTGTCTTTGAAGGCTCCTGACACAGCCTACTCAGTCAAAAGGCTCCTGGACTTCTGGGAAGTCACATCCCTAGTGCTTCTTGTCCCTCACCCTGTGTGGACATGGATTTTTCATTGCTCCTTGGTCTTTGGCCTCCTGCATTGGAACTAGGACTAGAACCTTAAAAATATGTATTTCTTCTAACACTGAAACATTCTAACAGAAAATTTTCTACCCAAATTTTACTGATCTTCAAGAGATGTGAGCCTTGGACAGTCATTCTACAACAGTGATAAGATAGCACGTCCTTTTCCAAGATCTAGTGTCATCCACCCATGCTCCTCGTGCTGTGAATTGAATGCTGTGGTAGGCTAAATTTCACCAAATTATCTTCCACCCATATTTGGTGCATGAGTTGGAGCCTATCAATGATATAGTAAGTCTTTCTCTAGTCTCAGATTTTTTTCTTTCTTCTTGTTCTTTGTCTTACTGTGCCTACATTCCTAACATGTTGTATTTTGTTTGTTCTAAAATCTTGCTTAGACACTGCTACCTTTTAAAACTAGGTATGTGTGATTAGGCATTTTATTTAAGATTGGTTCAGTTCATTTTAAAAAGCTCTCCTTTTGACAGGAAGTAACTCTGTAGTAAGAAACTGCAATGGAAGTTGGAAAAGGATGTGATTTCTGTATGTCAAGTCATTCAAAGACAGAGGGTATGGCTTTTCCTTTACTTGTTTTTATTAACACACAATATTTTGTGGTTTAATGAATATTATCTATGTAGTAAGAGGAATAATCTCAGAATGTTACTTATTGGCAGGAATTCATTTGTTTGTCTGTATTTATTTATTTACTTACTTATTTTGAGGCAAGATCTCTTCTGTTACCCAGGCTGAAATGCAGTGATAAAATCCCAGCTTCTGGGTCCTCAACCTTGTGGCCTCCAGTGATCCTCCCACGTCAGCCTCCCAAGTAGCTGGGAACTATAGGCATGCAATTCCAGCTAATTTTTGTAATTTTGTAGACACCAGGTCTCACTGTGTTGCCATCGCTTGTCCTGAACTCCTGGGCACAAGCAATCCTCCCGCCTCAGCTTCCCAAAGTGCTGGGATTGCAGACACGAACCACTGTGCCTGGTAGCAGGATTTTAAAATGCAGTTTGTTACCAATTTAAGTGGTAATATTTAAAATAATATCATAAGATTTAAAAATAGTACAATTAAGGCAAGTTAAGGCATTATAGTGTGTGGCTTCCCTTCTTAAAACTGCTAAGTTAGAGGGAAAATATTTTAAAAGATTTAATGAGCTATTTGATAGTTTGGCCAATTTAAATATGTTTATAAACCAATGTACTATTTCCCAGCTTTCACGCCACTGTGTACCAATGTAGAGATTTTCATCCTCCCAAAGTGCTGGGATTGCAGGCATGAGCCTCCACACCTGGCTAGATTGCCATTGTTTGATTCATTTAGTAAGGAAGAGGAAAGCTCTTCCATCTTTGTTACTAGGATGCTTATAACAAACGTGAGATATGTGACAAATGATGATGAGTAGTTTCTAAAATGTGTCATAAAATATTATCTTTTCTATTTTGTGCTTTTTAGAGATAGATATCTGTTTCACTTTGGGTCCTGGCTCTCCCCACTTTCCTGTAAATGGGCAAGGGGTGACAATTATATATATAAGTACATACATACACAGAGATGTATATATTTCTCACATGTATATTGAAAGGTAACAGGGTACCTTACAACAGAGAATCTGAAAAACTAAATTAAGGGTATCTTTCTACTTATATTGTTGAATTTTAGAAGTGTTAAGATCCAGCCCAGTGTTAAACATATAAAACAACAGTAACCTATATACAACCACTCTGATTTGGTCCGTTACTTAATGCTTTTTAAACCTCAGTTTCTTCAATGAAATGGAGATAATAATACCTATTTTTTAGGGTAGCCTGTGTCATGAGAGCTGATGTTTATAACATTTTTATTACAGAAATATACAGCCCTTTATTAGTAGAGATCTGATGTGGATGATGATTGTTTTAGCTTGGGCTGCACCTGGATATATGAAGCATCCTTATTTGAAATAGAGGCCATTTGTTGGGGAGAATGGGGGTTTGGATTGTAGGAGAGTTCTCATGCCTAAGTGGGTGAGTCCTAAATCAGTGGACGGTCCTGAAATTAAAAAGAGCCAGATTAAGGAACGCCTGAAAGGTGATTTGTCTGCATTTTCCTCAGCCTCCCTAGGCAGCGGCCTCTTTTAGCCTTCCGGTATGATTCCTTACCAATTTGGGTAACTTCTAATTCGACTTGACTGCTACAACTTTTCTTTTATTCTAGGGTCATCACCGGTGCTGTCACCAAGGAGGTCTTCTCACCCAGTCATGGACTTTTTCAGTTCATACTTTTTTGCTGACTCTTTCTCACCAGCAACTAATTCTAGTCATACAGAGGCCCATAAAATTATTGTGAGCGATTTTCTTGTTTCTGATGAAAACCTTCACAAGATGGAAAATGTACTTGATCTTTGGAGTTTGGATCTTAAGGTATTGCAGTTGTTCAAATAGGAGTATCTTTCTGATTATATTGAATTTTAGAAGTGTTAAGACCCAGCTGAGTGTTAAACATATAAAGCAACAGTGGCCTATATACAACCACTGTAATTTGGTCAGTTAATGCTTTTTAAACCTCAGTTTCTTCGTTAAAATGGAGATAATAATACCGATTTTTTAGGGCAGCATGTGTCACGAGGTCTGATCTCTTTGTTCAGTTGCAATTGTTGAATATATAGCATAATAGTTTGACTCTTGATTGCACTGTTTATTCTTCTTTTCTTTGAATTCAGAATCTTTCTTTAACTTTTTGTTTCTGGAGACAGTGTTTTAAATCTGTGCTTCTCTATCCTTAATGCACACATGAATCACCTGGGAATCCTGTTAAACTTCAGTTTCGTACTCAGAAGTTCTTGGACAGGGCCCAAGAATATGCATTTCTAACATATTCCCATGTGACGCTCCCATGTGCTGCTACTGATTCAGAACCCATACTTTGAATTGCCAGATTTTAAATAGTTGCTGGCATAGCTCTGCATGTTCCACTGAATTTCGTCGGTGTTTTGAAAGGCTCAGCCCCTGTGTGACTAATATTGAGACTTTAGCATTAGTTATGACTAATGGAAATGTTTCTCCCTTAGTGAAACAAAACATCCAACTTTAGCTATGTATATTCACTTTGTATTCACTTTTGCAGCAATTGTGATGAGTAACTGATCAATCTATGAAGTTTTATTTTTATTTTGGTGATTTTAGTGACCCCAAGTAAAACAAAATATTGCACTAATGGCAAGGTTTTTTTTTTTGTTGTTGTTGTTGTTTTTTGCTATTTCTTCAAAAACTGGAGAAAATAGCAACTTTTCTGAAACATATAGTTTGAGAAAACCAAGTTGAGTATGCACATACATGGAGAAAGTATGTCATGTGAGTTCTGTGGCATTTATATTTTTCTGTTATTTGGAACCTTACTTTCTAGAAATAATCTTCTAGCATAGTTTTTACCATTTTCCCCTCATGGGACAGGTTTCATACTTAGAATAGTGTAAATTCATTGGAGTAGTGTACCAACAACCATTTAATTGTTCTGTGGTTCATTAACTTGTTATCCAGTTTTTTGGTAACAGTTGATTTTTTGATCCATGCCAGTCAGTAGGATGGAAAGACTTAGCCATCTGTTGGAAGGTAACCATTGTGATAAATAGTTTGAAGAAGAAGACATCAGTTCCCATGATCTCCACTGTCATCCTATCTAAATAACTTACCGGTGGGTATGGTCCAGCCCAGGCCATGCTCCTGTGTCTCCTTTTTTCATATGACCTTAAATTAAAGTCTTTGAATAAACAAAGGAACGTGATGAATGAGACCTGAAGTTTTTTTTAATGACAACAAGATTTCATACAAAATTACTTAAATCAAGAAAAAATGGATTTTCCTATTATGGTGAATGTGAACTATGAAGAACCATGACTGTTGAACCTACACATACTTCTCATTGGTTTGTTCTGATTCTTTTAGTGGCTCTTGTGTTGATTGCACGTTCTTTTTTTTGTTTTGCTTTTTTTGAGTTGGATTCTCATTTTGTTTTTTTAATGTTTCTTAATTTCAGTATAGTTTGAAGGAATAATATTAAGAAACAACCTACTTAATTGTCACTATATTTATTTTTCAGACAAACATCATATCTGAACTAAGTAAATGGAGACTTAATTTTATTGACTGGCACCGAATGGAAATGAAAAAAGAGAATGAAAAACATGCAGCATATGTAAAACAACTGAACACCCAGATTAATGACTTGAAAGAGCTACAGAAAACCTTTGGAATCTCCATTGGGAGAAAAGATGAGGTCTTCTTTTTTATATCGCTTTTTAACTGAGAATCAGAAAATGTCTTGCTAGATAATAAATTCCAAGAGCTAAAGATGACTTAGCTCAGACAAGATACAAAGGGACAATCACCTCAAAACTGATAGAAAAATAAATTTATAGCAATAGGGTTTATTCTTCCTAGTACATATGTCAGTTTAATGTCATTTTATCTTCCCCATTGACTTTGGTGTTCTTGATGTAACATTAAGCATATATGTTTTTGCATACATATATCAAAGCATCACCTTGTACTCCATAAATGTTTAAAACTATGATTTGTCAATTAAAAAACTTTTAAGAGTGTATGCTAAATGTAGGTATGCTAGTTTTTACTTCTTTTTCTTCCCAACTGGCCTTAAGAGAACATCAAGGATCTAGCAGTTATCCATATTTTAAACCACTCCCCTGGGGTCATTTTAAGCATCTCAATTTTTTTTTTTTTTTTGAAGTGGAGTCTTGCTACGTTGCCTAGAGCAGTGGCTATTCATAGGTACAGTCATAACATAGGGCAGCCTCACACTCCTGGGTTTAAGTGATCCTGCTTCTGCCTCCCCTGTACCTGAGATTACAGTTGTGCATGACCACACTCATCTTAAGCATCTTAGATTCTATCTGTGCTAGGTCTTTCTACATTGGCAAAGTCGTTCTTCATTTTATTGACAAACACAGAAAACACTTCGTTTCACTTTATACTAGCTTCATGAGAACTTGAGGGTGACCAGTCATGGTGGTTCATGCCAGTAATCACAACATTTTGGGAAGCCAAGACAAGTGGACTGCTTGAGCCTAGGAGTTCAAGACCAGCCTAAGCAACATATTGAGATTTCATTTCTATAAAAAAAAAAATTAGCCAGGTTTGGTGGCGCTTGCTTGTAGTCCCAGTACTCAGAAGGCTGAAACAGAAGGATCATCTGAGCCCAGGAGATTGAGGCTGCAGCAGTGAGCTGTGGACATGCACTCCGGCCTGGGCAACAGAGTGAGACCCCATCTCAAAAAAACAACTTGGGAAAAAAAAAAACAACAACTTGAGAGTAAGGTTCAGGTCTCTACTAATTTTTTGCCTCCCGGCAGTGCTTGGAACAAAGCAGGTGGGCAACAAATCCGTGTCCCATCCCTCTTCCTGCCCTCCTCCCTGCAGATATGGATAGGAAGGTGGCAGCTTTTGAAGAAAAGCACTCGGGGCAGATACTTCAGCTGCTTGTCTGCAGAAACAGTGCTCAGGTGTTCTAATGAACCAATTAGACATGACTTTTTAAAAATGCATACATATATAAAAATATATAAAATCGAACATTTTATGTAGTTTGCTTTTTTGAAACAATGGATTCTGATGGCAATCATTTTCTCTATTATACTCACAATTCTGTTTTAAGGTTTTTAAATATTTTAAATTAATTTTTTTATTTTGAAGTATCACACACAAAAAGTGTCGATAACATGTTCAGTTTATGAAAATGAGTAAAGTGAATAGACAGGTACTGCCATTCACTAATAAAATATTATGAATATCTTAGAATGCTTGCCTTTTCCTCTTTTGAAATTATTTAAAGATCAAGTATAAATGTCTCTTGGTAAATGTGCCCAATTTACAAAACCTCTTTTTAATGTGGCCATTTTTTGAAATTTACTGCAGTCACTCATTTCTTTATAAGGGAGATTTTTATCTTAGAATGTAAAAACTTCCAGATTTTTTAAAGAACAAGAGATCACCGAAGAGGTGCCTCAAAATATAACTATTATTTGCTTTTATGAGTTTGCTTAATCTATAAAACCATTGAACAGTAATTGAGGAACTTCCAAGGTAGTAGGGACTACCAAGATATTTAAAACCTGGCCTTGCCCCCAAGACTAATGAATAAAGACGTGGTATATGTAGTAGAAATTTCAAAGTATAATTTTACCCAAATTAAATGTCAATTACTTAATTTTCATTTACATAAATTTTTTATTGATAGTTACCAAGATACACACATAATAAAAAGTTTCTTTCCTTTTCTGTTCCCCTTCATTAGTTGATATCTAGTCTATTCATGTGGACTTTTTAAAGATACTATAATAACAAGGCTAATTGGATGGATACAGTAGTGATCCATGATCCATGCTATTCTCTCTAGCATTTTTTATGTATGAGAAAATTACATATTGCTGTTATTGTGATATCATGCTAATTGAGTTAATTGCTATTTACAGGTGATTTCCAGCTTGTCCCATGCCATAGGCAAGCAAAAGGAAAAGAAAGAATTGATGAGAAACTTCTTCCACTGGCAGACTGGCCATGTCAAATCCAGGCAGGACGTAAGTATAGAAGCAGAAGATCACTGACAGATAGTAGGCTCCTGAACTCAAGTGAGTTTACGGTCACTTATTACAGCTCTCTTGTTAAAGTCAGAGATTGGTTTTCTAATAAGTCAAAATGAATCTATGATTTAATGTTGCTGTTATTTCAAAGGAATTTGATTTTTTTTTTTTTTTTGAGTTGGAGTCTCACTTTGTCGCCCAAACTGGAGTGCAGTGGCCGCTCCCGGCTACTGCAACCTCAACCTGCTGGGCTCCAGTGATCCTTCCTCCTCAGTCTTCCAAGTAGCTGGAACTACAGATGCGCACTACCATGCCCGGCTAATTTTTTGATTTATTGTAGAGATGAGGTCTTGCCAAGTTGCCCAGGCAGGTCTCGAACTTGTGGGCTCAGGCAATCCACTCACTTCAGCCTCCCAAGGTGTGGCATTACAGGCTGAGCCACCGAGCCTGACTGGAATTTGATTTTGATATAGTTTGAAAAACAGATTGGATAAACATATGAGATAGATATATAATTTGTTGTTTATAGTAGGTTAAAAAAGATTATACCTAAATTACACACACCCTGGTAATAGAACACTTAACAATTGTGCCTCAGATGTGATTATATGGAGAAAGAATTGATAATCTTCAGCATATCATATTCTTCCTATATTTTATACTTTTAAAATACCTGAATATATTTTATTTATAAAGAGGCATTACTATATTCATACATTTAAAAATAGTGTAGACACTGGGCACAGTGGCTTATGCCTATAATCCCAGCACTTTGGGATGCTGAGGTAGGAGAATTGCTTGAACCTAGGTATTCAAGACCAACCTTGGCAATATAGAGAGACCTCATTGCTACAAAAGATTTTTTTAAATAGCTGGGTGCAGTGGTGCACACCGCTTATCCCAGCTACTCGGGAAGCTGAGGTGGAAGGATCGCCTGAGCCCAAGCTGACAAGTCTATGGTGAGCCATCATCATGCCACTGCACTCCAGCCTGGGTGACAGACCCCGACTCAAAATAAAATAAATTGTAATGTAATGCAAAGTAAAGTAAAGTAAAATAAATTAGTGCCCTCCAGTCACTCTCAGTTCTCCTGGTCCTGCTAAATTCACAGCTAAGGTACAAGTGTCAGTTTACTCATTTCCTTTCATTAAAAAAAAAAAAGATCCCCTCCCCCCACTTGATTAGTTGTATAAAGCAATGATGTAGCAGACAGAGCTCGGGCTCTGGAGTCAGGCAAATCTGGCATTCCCCTTCCTACTTGCATGCCCTTCATAGGTTACTTCGCCCCTCCAAGCCTGTTCTCCTATGTGTAAGATGAGAATAATATGGTTACACAGGATTAAATAGTAATATGTGTACACTGACTACCGTGTTATGGTTATTTTTATTACTGCAATATATTTACCAGTCCATTGTTTTTGAGGTTGTATACTACTTTCATTTAGGTTTATGAAGGCAAGCTAGCTGACCATTACTTCCAGAGAAGCTACTGAAGAAAATCTGGAGAGGCTGGCGTGCTGTGGTACAGAAGCAGTAGAAGGAGGTAGTAGAGCAAGTTTGTCAGGCAAAAGCTAAGGAAGTTTGTAGCTAGATTCCCAATGATTATGAAGGCAAAGTTGCTATGGTAAACTTTTTGAATTTTCACTTTCTTTAAGTACAGTAAAAAAGATGGGTAGATTCCCTATTACTTTATAGTTAAACGACTCTTTTAGTCTTTATGTAGCCAATAATAGAGAAAACAAAAATGTTTATCATGGTGTTAACTTAAATAAACTGTGTTCTTATAACATTGTATAAAGCAGTTGTATATAAATTGAATTTATTTTCCTATTGGCTTTTAAAAATAAAATGAGCATTGTTTTCATGGGACTACATTTGGGACCCAAATTGAAATAAAAACCATTCTGAAGAATGCAGTAGGCCTCTTGAAGTCAAATATTAAAAGAAAAAAATATCTCCTCATTATAGCACTATGTTTTTAAGATTAAAATAAATTTCATAATCCAAATAATTTTCTGCAAACAGATGTCCCTATAGGTTTGGCCTTTGGGAAAGTGTGTTGTATCTAAGGTCACTCTGCACTTTAAATCCTGTAGATAGCATTTACTTTTTAAAAATTCTTTTAATATCGCAGGCATTTAGTGATACTTTTTTTTCTGAAGGGGCGAGGGCTATCTGTGACTCCTAATGTATTTTATTTAATATCCTACATAAGAGGTTTATGATAAGAAATGACATGCCTTTTTGTAAAGATGAAAACACTTCAACCATCTTCAATGGAACTGGTTAAAATTCCCCTTGTTTGAGCTCTGACCTTATGGTTAGGAATGAAAATAGTTTGTTGCTGGAGATCATAGAGGTAAGTTGTAACCTTTAAAATAAATTGAATCCCGTAGCAGAAGAGTTAAGTGGCAAACTGTTTTTGGTACTTCACATAAGAATAACCTCCTTATATGTCAATTTTTTTTTTATTTTTTATTATGGTTTTGTGGAGTACAGTTAAGGGTTAGGTGTACAATTACGCTTCATTCAGGCACCCTGTTGATAAGAGATGTTTTCCCATCCCCCGACAGATATTTACTACTGTTAATCCCACTCCCCTCCCCCCCATAGTTTCCCAGTACCGTCAGTCATTTTCTTCTAGTATTGCATTGGATGTTCAAGGTCCATTGTATGAGTGAGAACATGTGATATTCGGATCTTTGTTTCTGTGAGAGGTCACTCAGTATTATAGACTCTAGTTCCATCCAGGTTGCAGCGAAATACATGATTTTGTTCTTTTTTATGGCTGCGTAGTATTCCATCATGCATATGTACCACATTTTTAAAATCCAGTCCTCTTTTGATGGGCAGCATGGTTGTTTCCAGGTTCTTGCTATTGTGAACAATGCTGCGATAAACATACGTGTGCAGGTATCTTTTTTATAGAGTGATTTGTGTTCTTCAGGGTATATTCCCAGTAGGGGGATTGCAGGGTCATATGGAAGGTCAATTTTTAGAGCTTTTAGGAATCGCCACACTGCTTTCCACAGAGGTTGCACTAGTTTACACTCCCACCAACAGTGTAGAAGTGTTCCCTTTTCACCACACCCTCTCCAGCAGCTGTTATTTTTTGAGTTGTTGATAATTGCCATTCTGACTGGAGTTAGGTGGTATCTCAGTGTGGTTTAGATTTGCATCTCCCTGATTAGTGAGGTTGAGCATTTATTCATGTGTTTGTTAGCTGCTCGAATGTCTTCTTTTGTGAAGTGTCTGTTCATATCTTTTGCCCATTTTATAATGGGGTTGTTTGTTTTCTTCTTTTCAGTACGCTTCAGTTCCTTGTAGATCCAGGATGTTAAGCCTTTGTCAGACCTAGAGTTGAGAAATACTTTTTCCCAGTCTGTAGGCTGTCTCCCTGCTCTCTTGATGGTTTCTTTGGCTTTGCAGAAGCTTGTCAGTTTAATAAGGTCCCATTTGTCTATCTTCTCTCTTAAGTCCTGTGGGTTTCGGATTTTGTACAGGAATTGGATGCCAGTTCCGATTTCCATGAGAGTATTTCCTTCCTTTTCTAAGGTTCTTATTGTTTGAGGTTTTACATTTAGATCTCTGATCCATTTGGAGTTAACCTTTGTGCATGGGGATAGATAGGGGTCCTGTTTCAATCTTCTGCATGTGGTCAGCCAATTTTCCCAGCACCATTTACTGAATAGGTTCTCCTCTCCCCATTGGTAGGTGGTGGGGCTTTGTCGAAGATGAGTTGGTTGAGAAATTGAGGTTTTACTTCTGGAATCTCAATTCTGTTCCATTGATCTATATGCCTGTTCCTGTACCAATACTAAGCTGTTTTGATGATTGTAGCTTTATAGTAAAGTTTGAAGTCTGGTATTGTGATACCACCTGCTTTGTTTTTTTTGCTGAGGATTGTTCTGGCTATTCTTGGACGTTTGTGTTTCCATATGAATTCCTGTGTTGTTTTTTCTAGGTCTGAGAAGAATGTTGTTGGTAATTTGAATGGGTATTGCATTGAATTTGTAGATTGCCTTAGGTAAGATGGACATCTTCACAATGTTGATTCTTCCGATCCATGAGCATGGGATATTTTTCCACTTGTTCGCGTCAGCTTTGAGTTCTTTGAGCAGTGTTTTGTAATTTTCATTGTAAAGGTCTTTCACGTCTCTGGTTAGGAAGATGCCAAGGTATTTAATTTTTTTTGTGGCTATTGTGAATGGAATTGTGTTTTTTATTTGGGTTTCTGTTTGTTTATTATTGGTGTAGAGAAATGTGATTGTCTTTTGTACCTTTATTTTGTATCCTGAGACTTTGCCAAATGTTTTTATCAATGTAAGGAGACCTTTGACAGATTCTCTTGGGTTTTCAAGGTACACCATCATATCATCTGCATAGAGAGATAACTTGACTTCCTCTTTTCCTATTTGAATATCTCTGATTGCCTCCTCTTCTCTGATTGCTGTAGCCAGGACTTCCAATACTATGTTGAACAGGAGGGGAGAGAGTGGGCATCCTTGTCTAGTTCCAGTTTTCAGGGGAATTGGTTCCAATTTTTGTTCATTTAGGAGTATGCTGGCTGTGGGTTTCTCATAGATGGCTTTTACTATTTTGAGGTATGTTCCCCGTATGCCTAGATGTTCAAGGGTTTTTATCAAGAAGGGGTGCTGGATTTTATCAAAAGTTTTTTCTGCATCTAGTGATATGATCATGTGGTTTTTGTTTTGACATCTGTTGATGTATTTAATTACATTTATGGTTTTACGAATGTTGCACCAGACTTGCATGCCAGAAATGAAGCCTACTTGGTCACGGTGGATGATTTTTGAAATGTATTGCTGAATCCGGTTTGCTAGGATCTTGTTGAGAATTTTAGCATCTGTGTTCATCAAAGATATTGGCCTGTAGTTCTCTTTCTTTGTTAGATCTTTACCTGGCTTGGGTATCAATGTGATGTTGGCTTCGTAAAATGATTTGGGGAGAGTTCCGTCTTTTTCAATCACCTGGAA